GCCACCCAGCAGAAGTCCCACGTGAGCCCCATATGTCATTTAAGGAGAGGGAGAATAAGCAGGGGGACTTGGTAAGCTCGTTTAATTAGCCGGTATCCCAACATTACCACGTCAATGCGGGACTGTCGTAAAGGTCAGCAAAGGGATATTTACTTGCTCTTTTCCTTTGGAAGTTTTCAAAATCTGTCATGTACTTGACACTTAGGGCACTTGTCCATGTGCGCACATCGGCCAACAGTGGCCCTGGAGCCCTCGTCCCTCCCAGAAACCCATGTCACGCCTCCCCTGGGCCCCGGACAGCAAAACCCCAGGCAAGGCGCCCGGGCACAGGGTCGGCCGCCTCCTCCAAGGATCCTGCCCGTGGCTGATTTGGAAGTCTCGAGACCCTCCTCTCTCAGACACTCAGAGGTAAGTCACTCTGCCCCCTCGGACTGTCCAGGACCCGATGGCCTTTGCTGAGCCCCTGCCGCAGAGCCAGCCGCCAGCCCCGGGCAGCCACGTGAGCCAGGATTAGGGGTGGCCCCTATGCCTGGTCATGTCTGAGACTGCACATGATGGGCGGGACTCAGCGTTCCCTGGTAGCAGGGGTGCGGGTGAGAGCTGAAGCCACAGCCCCCATGTCCACTGCCAGTGGGTCCCACAGGGCTCAGGGCTCAGGCGGGGGTGGGGCAGTAGCTGGAGGGTGCCAGTGTTCGAGAGAAGTCCCTCTCTTGCTCAGAAACTCCCCTGCCTTCTGTGGTGTCCTCGGGGTCCCTGAGCCCCAGCTCTGCCCCCTCCTCCGGGCTCCCAGCTCCCAGCTCCCTGGGTCACCCTCCCGCAGTTCCTAGAAAATACCAGCCACTTTCTGGCCTCTGGGCCTTGGCACTTGTCCCCTCTGCCTGGAACCCGCTTCCTTACACTCACCCTAGGCTGGGCTGGGTCACTTGGATTCTCTCTTGGGTCCCACCTCATGCATCACCCCGTCAGGGAAGCCCCAGTCGGCAATTCCAACCCAATGACTGTGCCTGTAAGAGATGCTCTGCCTTGTTCTGGGTCCCCAGAGGCCCAAGTTTCTAACAAGCATCCCTGGGAAACAAATTTACCACCCGGCTCTCGTGTCGCGCCCCCTACCCCAGGGCGGAAGAGCTGGGGACACGGTCACCCCCTCCCCAAGCTCACTGCCAGCTAACAGAAGAGCTGAGTTGGGAGAGGCCTGGTCACAAGCATCCTCACTAAGCCAGGAGATAGGCCTGAGGGGTGCTCATGTTGCCGGGGGGGGGGGTTGCCGCCAGACATGAGGTGACACCGTGTGTGGGTCTTGACTCCCTGAAGGGAGCAGAGCAAGTGGCTCCTGGGGGTGGGGAGGGTGCGCCTCAGGGCAAAGCCGGTGCAGCAGCATTAGAAAGATCTCTCTTGTGTGGCATAGTGAGCTCCCCGTTCCTGGAGGTATACAAAGAATAGCACCAGCTGCTGGAAAAGGGACTGGAACCTTGGCCAGGGGTTCATTTGCCCATTGAGGGCTTTCCCTTCGGCTCTCAAGATTGAGGTATGGCCCAAGGTCACAGGCAAGGCCTGAAGGGGGCCCTCCTGCCTACCCAGGCCATCCCCCCACTTGGGGCCAATCATTAATCAGCACCGCCTGAGCGGCGGCTCCCACGAGTGCCCCCGGCTGCCTGCCAGCTCATGGCCCGTCTCCCGTCTCGTGCCCGGGGCGGCCTCATGCCTCTGACAGGGGCGGGCTGTGCCACTTGGCCCCATTTCCTGCTCGTGACTCCCAGCAGCTCAGTCCTGGGAGGGACAGGTGCCCGCTCGGACCCCTGTCACGGTGCCCACAGGACCCCTGAAGACAGAGCCCTCCTGGCTAAAAGGGGAACTGGGCCTTCCCTCACAGGGGCCGGCCTGGAGCCAGGGAGGGCTTCGGCAGGGCAGGAGGCCTCGGCCCAGGTGGTAGGGAGCCCACCCCTCCCACCCCCCGGAGCAGAGTGAAGGGAGGCCGGGGCTGAGCCAGCCCGGGGCTGAGGGACCTGGAGGACGAAGCTCCCGGATGTGCCTGACCTGGCTGTGGACAGGAAGAGCCAGGAAGGGGGAAAGAGCCTTCTCCGGGGAAACGAGCTGTGAACAAGCAGAGCAGAGGGGACGGGCCTCCCAGAGCTGCAGGCAGTGGGGGCAAAGCCACAGAGGAGCCAAGGGTTGGCACGCTCTGGGGAGAGGAGGAAGTCAGCCAGGGTGACGCTCTGGTTTCCAGAAGGGATGAAGGGAGGTGGGGGTGAGGCGTGACAGGGATTACCCAGACTCCGGGTGAAGGAGTTAACTTTATCCTGGGGTAATAGGGAGCTACTGCAGGTTTTGGAGGAAGGGAGTGACACGGCATGACCAGGACTGGACAGGGGGCTGGAGGAGGCATGGACAGCTGCCCGGGGAGGGACAGAGGCAGGCCCTGCAGGGGCTGTGGGGCAGGGTGGAGGGATGGGCAGGGAGACACAGGTTTCTGCTGAGGCAACAGGTGCTCAGGTCAGGGGGAGGCAAGGATGGCAGATTTAAGCAACAAGAGGCTGAGTCTGTTGAGCCAGAGGTCCCCTCGGGTGAAGCTTACTGAGTGCTCCCCAGGGAGCAGCCACACTGGTCTTGGCCGCAGGGGAGAAATGACTAGGGCCGGGCTCAGGGCTCAGGAGGCACAGCCGGAGTGACAAGAGGAAGTCCCGGTGAGCTGGAGCCCAGATGCGGCAGAGGGGCGCAGTCAGTCGCCCACACGGAGGTCATTAACAGCCTGGACAGGGGTGGCGGGAACAAGAAGGTGTGGGATGGAGAGCGCGCGTTGGGAGCAGAGAGCGCTGCCGGAAAATGCCTCTGAAATGCTCGTGGAAGGGAGAGGAGGCGCCTCAGGTCAGCTCCCTGGAAGCAGAGCCCGAGACGCATATTCCCAAGGGGAGCCCAAGCCACGAAGAGCAGGGCGCCCCACCCACGCAAGGGCAGAATTTAGCCCCCCAGAGTCAGTGTGTCTGCAGCTGTAGCCGACCCTCCCTGCGAGGCCAAGCTGCAGACCTTCCTGGGCTCCTGCTGGGCCCAGGACTGGGCTCCAAGAAGGAACAGCTAGGAGCTGTTAGCCGTGATCCCGGCCAGTAAAGGTAATGTGGGTGGGCACTGGTAGTGTCCACTATGGGGGGGCCGGCACGGGTCATGGGCTGGGGCCAAAACCTCTCCACTTGGCCTTTTTATTGGCATTTATTGTGGACCACATGTGAGCATCCCCCTGCCTGGGACCCTACCCTGAGAAGGTCTCTGAGTGGCCACGGCTCCCTCACTGCCTTTGTCTCTCGGTCCCAAATCAAGACCGAGCGCCCACCACCCTGCCCAGCCACAGGACCATGTCCGCTGCGCGTCTCTACGCATGGTGAAGAAGCAAGGTTAACCCACGGGGTGGGAGATGGGGACCGGGATCGGCGCCCCAGTCCGTGAACCTTGCAGCCACAGGTGACCTCACGACTCAGCGGCGCCGTGGGGGTGCTCACAGTGGCCTCAGAGCCCAGAGTCTCGGGAGCGAGGGGCCAGCGCGGCAAGCGGACCCCTGGCAGGGAGCAGGCAGCGAGCAGGCACCAGGCACCGGTGCTGACGCCTCCCCCCTCTCCCCTGCAGACGAAGGAGCAGGGAGCCCCGCCCTCCCCCGCGGGCACTGCAGGGAGGGAGCTGCACTTGGGTGGTGGGGCCCCCGGGAGGGGGTGGGGCCACCCTCCTGCCTGTGCCAGGTGCCACCCACGGGCTGCTCACCACAAAGGGGCCCCAGGGGCTTTCCCCTGCGCCACCCCAGCCCTATGCCAGGCGTTCCAAGCCCCGCAGAGCTTGGCTCTGGCCTGGGTCCCAGCAGCTGTGGCTCCTTGGCCCCCTGGGACCGGAAGGACGTGCTCTGCCTGCAGGTGGGGGTCTGAAATAGCAGGGCACCCCGCAAGCCTGGCACGGTGCCTCCAAGTGACTGCACCCCCGTCTGACCCTCCTGGAAGGGCAGGTCGCGTCTCCTCCCACCCCCACCAGCTCAACAGCAGTTTATCGCGAACCTACTGTGTGTAGGCCCGGGAGAGGCACTGGGGGCCCAGATGATGGCCTGCTCGCTCAGAGCTCATGTTACAGCTGAGGACCCGAGGCCCTGAGTGGCCCCAAGGGCCATGCCCAGGGTCACGGAGCTGGGTTCCAATCAAGGTGAGGCTCTGCAAGTCCCACTTTGCCTTGTAAGCTCTCCCCAACTAGGTAGGCCTCAACCCCCTTCCCTGTAAAATGGGCACCAGGGAGCCTCCGTCGGGGCTGTGTGAGGACACGGAGATGGAACATGTGACCTAGGAACAGGGCATGGCATGGTGGGACACAGCCAGCAGACCTCTGGCCACCCCTGCTTGGCACCCTGCAGTAGCTGCCACTGCCCAGAGCATCGGAGGCCCAGCCCCCTCCCCAGCCCCACTCTCCCTGCACCCCCTGCACCCCCTGCCCCCCGCCCTGCCCGCCAGCCTGTCGGATTCCTCGGTGCTCGCACACATGTACGCACAGCACCCCACGAGTCTCTGCTTGCGAGCTCCCTCTGCCTGAAAAGCTTCCTCATAAAGGGCACCCGTCGCCTCCAGCCCCCACACCCCAAAGCCCCCTGCAGGAACTCCTGCTCTTCTCCCATTTCCAGATACAGACGAAGGCAGGGAGGGATGAAGTGGTGTGCCTCCTTGCACATAGCCACCGAGCCCTGCGTGTGTCTCTAACTGCCACACTGTGCTACCCACTGGCCACCCAGGGGCTCACAGCCTCACCAAAGGGCCGCGTCCTCCAGCCCCATGGCCCAGCAAGACACCCCTCGGCCACTCACACAAGTGGGATCTCCCTGGAGAGCTGCTCCCCTCCAGGCCAGGCTCGGAGAGACACCGGGGCTGGTGCAGCCCAGGGAGGGTGGGCTGCCCTGCGCAGCTTCCTGAGGGGTGGGGGAGTCGTGCCTGGCTCCCGGAGCCCAGACCGTGGCTGGGCCCCTGCAAGCCCGGAGGCGCCCTTACCTACTCGGAGCTCTTGCCCGAAGACGGTTTTCTCGCCGAGGGCGGAGCAGTTCCAGCGTCCGAAGCGGAACTGATACTGGCACTCGTTGATGCCCATCTGCGCCCCCTCCCCAATCACGATGATGGCATCGGGCCGGCTCTGGCAGATGGCGCGCTGCCGCGGGGCCAAGCCAGGGATCTTGTTGCAGATGATGTTGGCTCCCAGGGCCACGACGGACGACAGCGCTCTGTGGAGAGGGGAGAGGACACGGGGAGGTGAGTGGTGGCGCGGGGCACCTCACCCTCTGCCTGCCATCCTGCCTCGCTCAGTCTCTCGGTCAGCTGGTGGGCTCCAGGCGCCCTACGTGCCAAGCTCTGCCATCAGGGAACAAAACACAGACCCCTGTCCTAGAGAATCCATCTCCCCTGGACCAAAACACGTGATCCCAGCCTACAAAGGTACTCATCCCTGTGCCTTTTCAGCCTCCGCACGGCCAGAGCCATGGGTCACAAGTCCCGGGAGTCAACAGTCCCACAGAATGCAAGAACCCCAGCTCCCCATGCCTCTGAGTCAGACACACAGACCCTTCGGGTCAGAGGACTTCACGCCTAGGATTCACCCAGCCACCCCCGAGAGTACACCCCCAACGCCTGACCACAGGGCTTCCCCAACACTAGCAGCTCCTGGCCCAGGCAGGACTGCTGAGCTGGCTGGTCCTGCTGGGAGCCAAACCCACAGAGTCCTGACTCCCCTTGCAGCCCATCTGTAATCTTGGGAAGGCGCTCTGCCTCTCTGAGCCTCAGTATTCACATCCGTGAAATGGGAGTGTAACACATCTGCCCGCCCCCCCCCGCCCAGCACCACTACTACCACATAGACTTAGACCAGACAACTGCAGGGAGAAAGGCTGCATCCACGGGGACGGCTGCTGTTGTCATTCACTCGTTTCTGGATGACTGGGTAGACTCGGGAGGAACTAGGAGCGGATGTGAATTGAGCACCTAGTATGTGCTGGGCTGGACAGGGTCCTCTTTGCAACATTGTATTCTCAGAGTGGCCCCCTGGGGGCGCCGTGTCATTAATCTGGAGCCCTCTGGACACTGGAGGGCACTTGCCAGGCTCCCGCTGTTCACATGAGGTGTCCCCGGCATGTTTCTTTTCAGAGAGGACATTCCCCTCCTGTACAGGTAACCATTTTAAAGGGTTCGGGTCTGCAGCACTCAGTCATGTCCCAACATATTTTCCCCACCCCCAAAACGAAACACCATTCCCCTCAGCAGACACTCCCTATCCCCTTCCCTCCCCCAGGCGCTGCAACCACGAATCTGCGATTCTAGACTTTTCGGAGAGATGAGGTCACATAATCTGTGCCCTTCCGTGTCTGGCTGCTCTCACTTGGTGTCATGTTTCCCGGGTTTGGCCCCACTGTGGCAGGTGTCCGTGCTTCCATCCCTTCTGGAGCTGAGTAATATTCCATCGTGCACAGCGAACCCCTTGCATGTATCCATGCATCAGCTAGCGGCCGCTGGGCGGCTCTGGGCCCTTGGAAATGGTGCTGCTACGAACATGGGCATGTAAGGTTTTGTTTGAGTCCCTGTTTTCAGTTTGGGGGGGGCATATTCCGAGGAGTGGAATTGCTGGGTCATATGGTTGGCTTTTGAGGACCCACCAAACTGTCCTCCACAGAAGCAGAACCCCTTATTTGTTTCTGAGCACCCAAGGGGGTGCGGGGGGAGGACAGCAAGCGGGAAGGAGTTGGGGGCTGGTTTGGGCAGACCTATGGACAACAGCTGAGTTTCAGAGTGCCACCTGGCTTCCAAACCAGAGACCAGACTGGCTTAGTGAGGGACAAAGTGTGGGAATGAGGGAGACAGCCAGGGGCTCCCCAAAGCTGACGTCCGTGCCCTGGCCTCCCAGCACCCTGAGCTCCCTCCTCCTGCCCACTGGCTGGAGAGAAACAAGTCCGTGTTTTTCCAGGGCAGCCAAGCACCCACAGCCAGCTGGGAAAGTCCCTGTGTGACGTGAGCCCACAGCACGTGCCTCAGGCTGGGCCCCCCTGTGACACTCAATCTCCACGGCCCGCCCACCCCACTCACTAATCTGGCCAAGACCCCCCTGGGTCTCCCACGGGCACAATGGGCAGAAATGCTCGAGGCTGGCGCGGAAGAAGAGCATCTGGGCGGGCTGGGCTGGGAGCGGGCTGGAATCTGGGGAATTCAGCCCAAAGTAATTGTAGATGCTCAGAAAACCGACCCGGGGAACTGAGATGGATGGGAACCAGCCTCCAGGCCTCGGGAAGAAGCCCGCTTTGGATCCCGGATACTGAAAGCAGGCTTCACATTCCCAAATTCTTCCAGCCATCTCCAGGCTGCAGAGCCCCCCACTGCCTGCGACAAGAACCCTGCTGGGGGTGGGAGCTTGGACAAATGGGTTCTGAACAGGGGGACCCCAGTGGACTGAGGATGGACCCCAGGGGCCGAAACAGATCATCGCAACCCTGGTCTCCCGCCTCCAAGCAGACCCCCCAGCCCTCTTCCAGGACCCAGGTCTGACCGTGTCACTCCCCTGCTCAAAGTCCATCCATAGCTCCCCAGGTGCCTTGGCGTGGAATCGGAGGCCTCCAGGATCTGGCCTCCTAGCACCCCACCATCTTTGCTTGCGCTGGTCCCTCTTCCTGGGGTGTCTTCCTTCTCCCTTCTTCTGTCTGGCAAAGTCTACCTGCCTGTGCCCAAGCACAAGTCCCCTGAGCTCAGATGCCTTGGCCCCCAGGCATCCGAGGAAACACACAGTGGGCACTTGTCTCTCGAGTACCAACCTCAGCCGTGGGCTCTCACTGTGGCTCTTTCCACAGCCTTCCCAGCAGACCACAAGCTCCTGAGCGCAGGGCCAGGTCCCGGCTAAATCTGGGGTTCCCAGGGCTGACCCCGTGGGTGCCCATGAGTGCAGACTGGCTGAACAAGTGAATGAGTGAGTAAATATTCACAAATGATGGTAACGAAAGACAACCCGGCTTAAAGATGGCCCAAGGGGGGCGCCTGGGGGGCTCAGTGGGTTAAAGCCTCTGCCTTCGGCTCAGGTCATGATCTCAGGGTCCTGGAACCGAGCCCCGCATCGCATCGGGCTTTCCGCTCAGCAGGGAGCCTGCTTCCTCCTCTCTCTCTGCCTGCCTCTCTGCCTACTTGTGATCTCTGTCTGTCAAATACATAAATAAAATCTTTTAAAAAATTTAAAATTTTAAAAAATAATAAAGAAATTTAAAAAAATTAAAATGACCCAAGGACTTGAAGAGCTATTTCTCCCAAGAGCGGTAAATGGCCAACCAAGAAGTGAAAAGGCTCTGAATAGCACCCCTGAGGGAAGCGCAAATCGAAACCAGCAAGATGCCACCTCGCGCCCCCCCCCCAAGATGCCTCCCGTCAGAACAACAGAAAGCCTGAGGGTTGCTTGGGGAAGATGGGGTTGGGAGAGCGTGGTTTGGTGATGGACATTGGGGAGGGTATGTGCTATGGTGAGTGCTGTGAAGTGTGTAACCCTGACAATTCACAGACCTGTACCCCTGGGGCAAATAATACATTATATGTTAATAAAATTCATTAATAAAAACCATCAATTAAGTTAATTAATAAAATTAATAAGTAAAATTGATTAATTGATAAAATTAATTGATAAATGAAATTTAGTCACTGGTAAATAATAAAATCAATTTAAAAGAATAAAATAAATTTAATAAATAAATTAATAAAAATAATTAATTTTAAAAAGAACAACAGGAAGTGCCAGGTGTCGGCCTGCGGTGGGGACATTGGAGCCCTCGTGCATCGCCAGCAGGAATGCAAAACGGGGCAGCCACTGTGGACGACAGTCAGGAAGTTCCTCAAAAAGTGAAACGTAGAATTATCATAGGGGCCAGCAATTCCACTCCTTGGTCTATGCCCAGAACTGAAGACAGGTGAAGACAGGTGTTCAACAAAGGTGGATGTTCATAGCACTGCTGTCCCCAAGAGCCAGAAGGAGGAAAGAACCCAGATGTCCACCAGGGGCTGAACGGGCAGACAGACCATGGTCCATCCGAACAATCGACCCTCCAGGGAGGGACCTCAAATCCAGTACGCTGGGCATACAGACACCCAGACTGTGCATTGTACGCCTGCATTTGCACAAAGTGTCTGGTGAAGGACAGAAAGTGGGCCCGCGGTCGCCCAGGGCTGCAGGGAGGAGGCACGGGGAGAGCGGGCTGGCAGGCATGATGGCAAAGTCATGGAGCCCAAAAGAGGTGATGGGGAGTGCGATACGCCTCTGCGTGACACACTTTCCAATGGTTAAAGTGGCAAATTTTGTGTTATGTGTATTTCAAACCGAATTTTTAAAAAGTCTATCTACGCACAGGACGTCTGCACCCTTGGACATCGGTGGGCTCGGCAGGAGGGGACAAGAGGGTCCTTGCCTGGCTGAGCCCTGCTTGTATGCTTCCCAGGACGTGTGGAGCCAATGAAGCAGGGGGCAAAGGGGCCTCCGGCGGCCCTCAGTACCCAGAGCATGGGTCAGAGGTGAGGTGAAGACATCAGGGAAGATAGTCACGCAGTATTTTGTGCCAGAAACATAAATACTCAGATACAACTGCTAATTCAAAATCACTTTGCAATTGTCTTCTTTAAAATGTGGGGGTTTATCCACTCATGTAATGAGATATGCGCATTCTGAACACCAGCCACGGACCACACGGGCCTCTGCCGGGCTCAGTCCTCTCTCCTTACATCCTCGTGTCAGAGCTGTGCAGACCGCCGCTGAGAGAGGCTAGGGCGTGTGCCTGGGGCTGCACAGCCAGGCTCAGAGCCCGGTCTCTGCTTCCAGAATGCAGGCAGAGGCCCATGGCAGGTGCATAACAAGTACCAGAGCCGAGAGCCGGAAACTATGCCCTCTTCTTAGTCTCTAAACACGGCTTTAACTCCTTCTCTTGCTTAAAATCCTCCCAGATCACTCATTCCTTCAGTCCAGGTCGATGGACAGCTTCCACGGCCGGAGTCCGACCACTCCGCCCCTTCCCTCCCCTGCAGCCCGTACGTCGGTTCATTCGCAGGGAGTCTGCCCACTGCCCTCCCTGAGAAGGCCTGGCCCACCCCAGCCTTGGCTACACTCTTTCTTCCACCTGGAGGGGCAGGGGCTGCGGTTATGGGAATCCTCGTTAGGGAATCTGCCAGAGAGGAAAGGGCCAAAAATGCATGGTAACTAGAAATTGGTGACCTCAAG